TGGGCAGAGACTAGACCCATGTCGGGTAGTCCTCAGTCCCCATTGGGCCCTAGGCCTCTGACTCACGCGGAGTGGAGTAGCCCGGCCCCTTCAAAGCAGGCCTCTCAGGATGTCCGGATGCCATCTACACCCGAAGCCCTCCAGGCAGCTAAGGACATCAGGTCCATGCTGGTGCCTGGAGTGCCGCCGATGTTGGCCCCACACTCCAGAGGCAAGCCGCTGCTGGGATCACCACAGTCACCGCCGGCCCGGTACTGGTCTCGGTCGAGGGAACGTTCCCGATACCGCTCATCGCCCAGTGACTGTTCAGGGCTCAGTCCATGTGGATTGCCCTCAACACCGGCCAGACTGTCTGGATGGGTGCCATCCAATCGGGACTCTCGGCACCGCTCGTCTTCACTGAGCGAGCTCAGACGGGACCGTGGCGGACATCGCCAATGGTCCTCGCCTCGAAGGCGGTACCGCAGTTGGTCGCGGCATCACCGTCGACGCTGTTCCTGCTCAGAATCCTGCTCAAAGTCTCCGCCAAGGCACCGTAGCTCCGGGCGTCGATCGCCGGCTCCTCGCCATCGCGGGTCCACCCATTGAGATCGCTTGTGGAGCAACTACTACCGTCAGTGCCATTCTCCCGCCTCGAGGTCCCAGTCCCGTGGTCGACATAGATCCCGGCACCACCGCCACTCCCAGTCTGGAGGCCGCAGCGTGTCGTACGCCAGCCCAACCTCTGCTCACAGTCGCCCGTCTACAGGCCAGGCTAGCCAGCCTGATCAGCCAGCTCCACCAGTGTCTCAGCAAGTGCAATGGCACCCTGCATCATGGTGGGCCCAGTGGTACCAGTGGGCACCATGGCCTCCGGCGCAGCCCCCGGTGGGGGATCACTAGGTGGCTGGGGCGTCAGAAGCACCATTGGCCTCCATCCCTAGACTGCCAAGAAAAGAGTCGATGGGCTTCCTCGGTGCCATGCCCGGAGTCCAACCAGGAGGTGGATCCTCCAGTGCCAGCCAACACCCAAAGCACCGCACCGGCCTCCTCGCCTCATCCGGAGGAGCTGATTGCAGCCCCGCCCCCTCCGTCCCGCAGGAGGACTACCGGGCCCATCAAGACTTACTAAAAAAGGTGGCAGCAAGCCTCCATCTCCAGGCTGAGGAAATGGCACCCTGAGCCCTCAGACTCCCTGTTCAATGTGCTGTCGCCCTCAGCACCAGGCAGGGTGGCCTTGCCGCTCCATGAAGGGCTAGCAAAAATTTCAAATGCCCTGTGGCAAAGACCAGCCTCGTTGACTCCCATCTCTAAGAAGGCAGAGCACAAGTACTTCGTACCCACTAAGGGGCACGAGTATCTGTATACCCACCCGGCACCCAACTCCTTGGTGGTCGAGTCGGTCAACCCAGGGAGCGACAGGGGCAGCCAGCCCCGACCCCAAAGAACAAAGACTCTCGGAGGCTGGATGCTTTCGAGAGAAAAATGTATTCGTCGTCAAGCTTCCAGCTGAGGGTAGCAAACCATCAGGCTCTCCTGGGTTGCTACGAATTCAATCTCTGGGGATCCCTCCCCAAGTTCGAGGATTCCCTCCGGGAGCACGATAGAAAGGAGTTTAAGGCGCTCGTGGAGGAAGGGGCAGCCACTGCAAGGGCTTCTCTGCAGGCCGCTTCGGATATATGAGACAGGCATTCTGGCTTCTGCTCTCTGGGTTATCCAGAGAAGCGCAGTCATCAAAACAGGATTGCCCTTTTGACAGGAAGGCGCTGTTTGCGGAGGAAACGGACACAAGGCTGCATGGCATGAAAGACTTCTGGATGACCCTCCAGATCCTGGGCCTCTATGTCCTGGCTCTGGCAAAACTCAAGTTCAAGCCACAGCAGGCTCCCACCCAGGCCGCTCTCCCGAAATACGAAGCCGCCCAAAAGAAGCAACGGGACTATAGGAAACACCTGCAAAAACAATAGCGGCCTGCCCCACAGCCTGGGTCCTCTAAGGGCAAGCAGGCGGGTAAAAGGCGGTTTTGACGGGACGCTCGGGGGTACCCCGCCAATTTTCAGCACGGATCCATCCCTAATAAAGCTCCCTTTTTCCAGTCGATTGTGTGCATTCCTCCCGGAATGGTCGCAGCTCACCTCGAACCTCAACACACCATCTCCCGATGTTACACCCTCCAGTTTATCTCCTACCCACCCAACCACCCCCCGCCTCCATCCCTCTTGGGGGTCCCATTGCACAAGGCTCTGCTCGAGCAGGAGGTTGGGATGCTCCTGGAATTAGGAGCGATAAAGACGGTGCCCAAGGAGTTCCTGGGCAAGGGGTATTACATCCTGGTATTTCCTTATCCGGAAGGCCAAAAGGGGAGCTCAGACCCATACTACCTGCAAGGTCTGAACCAGTACTTGGTAAAACTCAAGTTTTGCATGGTTTCCCTGGCCTCCATCATCCCCTCCCTGGATCCCGGGGATTGGTACGCGGCCTTCGATCTACAGGACGCATACTTCCACATCCACATATTCAAGGGGCACAGGTGCTTCCTCCGTTTTGTGGTGGGACAGAATCACTACCAATTCACAGTCCTCCTGGTTGGTCTGTCCAGTGCCCCCAGGGTCATTACGAAGTGCATGTCGGTAGTAGCAGCCTACCTCAGGCGCCGGAGGGTCCAGATATTCCCCTATCTGGATGACTGGCTGGTCAAGGGCACCTCCCGGTTGCAGGTGAGGGATCATGTGGCACTCCTCCTATCCACATGCACCGCCCTGGGCCTGTTGGTAAACAACACCAAGTCCACGTTAGTCCCAGTCCAATGCATAGAGTTTATCAGGGTGCTCCTGGACGCAATGTCGGTCTCTCTCCCCCAAGACATGTTCGAGACCGTGAAAGGGCTCATCCACTCGATTGTAAGGTTCCCAGTGATGATAGCCAGGTCCTGCCTACAGCTGCTGGGTCACATGTCACCGTGCACGTATGTGGTCCGCCATGCCAGGCTCAGGATGAGGCCCCTACAACTCTGACGCCTCGCAGTTCACCAAAGCCACGGACAGATTGGACAAGGTCCTCACCGTGCCAAACTCGATGACCACCTCGCTACGATGGTGGTCCACACCGAGTAACACACCAAGGGGTCCTGTTCAGGGACAGGGCCCTGTCCATGGAGCTGGTGTCCGATGCATTGGACCTGGGCTGGGGAGCCCATGTGGGGAGTTTTCAGACCCAAGGCCTGTGGTCTCCGCAAGACCTGACCCTTCACATAAACATCAAGGAACTCAGGGCAGTGCAGCTGGCGTGTACGGCCTTCTGTTCGCACCTGAAGGGCAAGGCAGTCAGGGTTCTCACAGACAACACGGCCTCGATGTTCTATATCAACAGGCAAGGCGGGGCCCGATCCTCCGCCCTCTGCCACGAAGCCCTCAGCCTGTGGGACTTCTGTATAGCCCACGACATCCACCTCCACCTGAGGGCCCAGGGCTAGGTGCCCTCGTTGGTCAGGGTGCAGCTGGCAGCCATATTGGCTTTCCAAAATGGGGCCCGCCAGGACAATGGCCCTTTTAGACACCATGGGCCTATCATTAGCAGCAAGGGACCTCCTCCAGAGCTTCGAGGTCCAGCTATTCGGTGCATCGGTCCCGGTCCCCACACAGGCACCCCTCCACACCCAAGGAGGCTATGGTATCCAGGCCGCCAGACGCTTCTCCGGAACACCAGCGAGTGGAAGTGGCACCGAGCCCGGGGCCATCCCGGGGACAATCAACCAGGCAGGGCTCGGACATGCCCCCGGCCTATGATGAGGGGCAAGAAGAGCAGGTGGAGGAGGCACAGCAGGCCCTCACCTCCTCATCCTCCCCAGACGAAGCTGTGGTGGGCATGGCAGTGTCGGGGCCTCCTCCGATTGACCACAGGGCACATCAGGAGCTGCTCCTCAGGGTCGCCCAGAACTTGGGCCTACAGGCGGAGGAAGCAGTGGAGCAGGAGGATCCTATGGTGGACATCCTAAGCCCTGAAGGCCCATCCAGAATTGTGCTCCCGCTCATAAAGACAATTCAATCTAACTACAAGACGGTCTGGCAAACCGCAGCCTCCAGCACACCAACGGCAAGGGGGGTGAAGAGGAAGTACTTCACCCCTTCCAAGGGATACGACTTCCTATTTTGTCATCCAGCCCCCTGTTCGCTGGTCGTCTCAGCCATGAATGAATGGGAGCATCGTGACTCCAGTGAAGGAGATTCCACGAGCTTCCAGTAGCTTCAGCCCGGAGCTTACTTCTGGTGTGACCAATGCTTTTGCAGGGAAGAGAAATGATCAGTCTGAGGATGTCTGGATTGTCTGTAGCACTTTGGAGTCCCAGGTCAGAACCAGGATGAGAGGGTAGGCTTTGTACCTCTGCTATGCTGAGATTGATAAGGGACAGATCGGCCAGGCAAGCAGGTTAAAGCAATCCCAGGGCTGCACTAACTTGCACCCCCTGCTGCCTTAGCCCTAATGGACATTGTGGTAGCTGGGAATCATCAGGGTGCAGGACTGTCTCAACCATGCCCTCCCCTGCCTCTGATCTGCCTGAGATGCCTCCTGTGCCAGAGGATCCAAAGCTGTGGTGCTGTCTCTGTGTCTCTCATGGGGGCCTGCTGTACCAGAGCAGTTTACTTGGGGGCCTTGCAGCCACTTTGCCCAGTGTACATGCAGTTGTGCACAGAGCGCAGAGGAGACTTTCCAGCACCCCATGGACCTCTTCGGAGGGAAAATGGTACACTTCATTGCTGAGCTCCGTGGCTGAGGCTCTCTTTATTTTGAAATGCAGGGAAATTCAAAGATAAATGTCACAAAGTCAGTTCAGGGCACGAAGGGACCCAACTCCACTGCACATCCCCAGTAAGTACAATGCAAAGCCATGTATCACATCACAGTCTCACAAATGCACACCCACAAACACAGTTTGTTCCTGGCAAACCAGCCCTTCTCAACCCCAGTCCCAGGGACACACCCAGACCTTTGCTTCTTTGTTTACTGTTTTTCTATCCCATTAGAAATCTAAGCAAGAGATTGAAGAAGAGGGACAAGCACTGTCCCAGAACGAGGGGATTTGTGGCAATGTCAAGCTGTGCTGCCTGCAACCCCTGCTGGAAGTGACAATCCGAGAAGCTGAAGCTCAGCCCTTTGAGGTGCTCATGCAGTTCCTGTACACGGATAAAATAAAATACCCACGCAAAGGTAGGACAGCAGGAGGAGGACTCTGCAAACCAAACCTGGCCCACAGGGGCTTTTTTAAAAAACATATGAAAATTGAATATTAGCAATTTGTGAGCAAATCTTTATATTTATCACTGATGGCAACCGCTGCTGGAATTCTGTGTCCAGTTCTGTTGTCCACAGCTCAAGAAGGATATTGAAAAATCGAAGAGGGTTCAGAGAAGAGCCACAAGAATTATTAAAAAGCAAGAGAGAGTCCTGTGGCACCTTTAAGACTAACAGATGTATTGGAGCATAAGCTTTCGTGGGTGAATGCCCACTTCGTCGGATGCATGATCCG